TTTACATCATTAGGAAGAATAGGATAATGAAAGTGAGGATTATTCGTTTAATCATATGACCTCAAAGAAGCCATAAAATATATTATTCATCTATGATTTTACTCATGAAGATATAAAACATACTTTGTATTAATAAAATATACTTTATAAAAGTGCAGTAATAAATTCGTGTTTGGTGAAAGGTTAAATGTGTGAATATCAAGCAGTTTTTTCAAAATGATACTTGAAACTGTCGTTACATATTCTAGAAGAAAAAGAAAGGATACAAACTTTATAGAAAGTGTACACATTTTAAAAACATGGTTTAAAGAATAAATTTTGAATATGTTTCGTTAATTGATATTATGATGCTCTTTTTAGTCCAAAGGAGCAATTTGCCCAGAAGGTCTATTGCTTCCGTTTTGCAATTTTGCGTTGAATCCTTTAAAAGGCTGTATCACTTTTCAAATCGTTGCCACCAAATATTATCGCCCTATATTATATCTGAAGAAATTAAATAATGAAGAATCTGAATAAATGTATATATGTTTCTCGTATTGTGATAAAACAATTAAAGAGCCATTAAAATTCGACTAACATAATCTTCCATAGAATATGGGCATGTGGAAGCTCTAATTTGAATTTGAAATTTGTTTTATTATCAATGTCCTATTTTATAACATTTCAACGAATTTTTGATTAAGAAAACTAAACGATTTCAAAGCAAGAAATGGCAACGTTGTGCAGAAAAATATTTTTATTTCAAGTGCGTGAGACTGTAAATTCTAAAGATCTATCGGAAATTCTAAAGATATGCTTAATTTAAAATTATTTTGCAATATTGCTCTTGAACTGAATTTTATGGTTTAAGTGCAAAGAACATGATCTCTACATATAATAAAAGAAAGAGTCTATGTGCCTTTCGTTCGTGCTGCGCGTAAGCTAATAGATCCAGGACTATTATTACTAAATTTGGGATATAGGTGCATCTAGACAAGAGCCGGTGCACCTCAAAGCGATTTTCAAAATTCGAATTAGATTTAAAAAAAAAATTTATCTTTTCGATTTTATCGCATCATTTTGAATAGTTTCATTCTCTTAGAAATGTGGTTTTGGCAACATTTTTTCATTCAATTGTATACTGGACTGCTGACTGTTGAAAATCAGCACCGTTGCCTCTTGGAAAAATGAGGGCGATAATTCTGTGCAGTTTTTAAATTTAATGTTTCTTTTGAATTCTGTTTCCTTTTGAGAGAAGGCAACGGGAAGACACTGTTAGACACTGACTGACTACCAACTGAATCTCCGCATAGCTTTTTAATTGCATTCGAGAATATTCTGGGCCAAAGCAGTTTGTTCGAGAAGGTTCTCCATCCGTCTATGGCATATCGCCAATTTTGTCGCCAAATGGGCGATTTCGCGCCAAGTATGGCAACCCTGAACCCGCTTTGTGGAGAAGCTATCTTACCGCAGATGGACATTTCGGAACACTCTATAATGAAAACTCGCAAAAGATTCCCTTTTTACAATATCTAAATTTCATCTGAAATAAAACGTACTTATTTTCATATCCGTTTTTTTAAATCTATCATAACATAGTTACAGATGGAAACATTGCGGCAAAAACACAGCGTACACAAATGTAGTGGAGAGAAAAACGCGGGGAGGGGGGACGTCGTTCGTGGAGAAAAGAAAGAAAACAAAACAAACAGGAAGCGTCACGCTTCTGAAACATTGTGATAGAAACTAAAGCGGTGCAAAAATTTCGTGGTTTTAAAACATCGTCGTACAAAATATCGCGGTAAAAATTAAAGCACCTATAAATCATCGCATGATTGGGGGGGGAAGTGGTATTTTTTTCCTAATCTTTTTATATTAAACTCGTTTTTTTTATGAAAATCTACTAATACGTCTTTATCAAAAAAGTTAATTAAATAATGACTTTTAGTAGTTAGCAACTTAAGCTTAAAATTCGTTAACTGCTAATACATGCATTTATTTTTACTGATTTCCAGATTTTTAATGCTCAAGTTTTTGTTTTGCTTTTTTTAGTAAAAATTCATCAGTTAAATATGAAATATAGAGATAAAAATATTACTTATTTCTTGTACTCACAAATTAATCTGTGAAATTCACCAAAAAATTTTGTAGTCCAATAAAGCATGTCCAATAAAGCGATATTATCATCAAGAAGATTTGATGATAATATCTCGGACAAGATTTTTACCACGATATTTTGCACAACGGTGTTGTAAAACTGCGAAGTTTTTGCGCGGCTTTATTTTCTACCCCGTATTTTTCTGCCAGGATATTTTAGAAGAGGGATTTTTTTTCTTGCTTTCTTTTCTTCCACAATATTTCATAAGACGATATTTTCCTTGCTTTTCTACGCAAAGTTTTCGCTTGCAATATTTTTATCTCAGTTTTTCTCAGTGAACATCTAAAATTTCTTTTGAATGTGAAGAACAATGCTTTTAGTTATAATTCTGTTTTAAAATTCTTTATTCTATACTGTTTTTCAATGATTTATGTTTATTTCTTTCGAAAACATTTCAGGTATTTCGCGTGCATTTTTAAAGCTAGTTATTTTAATACATAATCAAAAATTTAATCAGACTCTCTGTATAGATGTTAATTATTTTCTTCCAGTGGTATCATCTGACTAGCAAGCATTCAAATCCAAATATCTATAAATTATGAATAAATATTTTTCAAACAAACATTTTCTTTTGAAATTATACAATATAGGAACTTAAACATATATAACATTTTGAGGTGATAAATATGACGCAAAGTAAGCAATAAAAAGCATTAAATATATGGTATTCGTTTTCAAACCTTCTAAATACCTATGATTACTACTAGAGCTAAAAATTAGTCTTTGAATCATTGTTTCGAAGTATGCATATTGTTATACAATTGGTGTCTGCTAATGAGATTGTTAAATGGATGATAGGATTTCCGCTATGAATTACCATAGCATTTCTGAAAATATAGATACAGCTTTTCAGAAACAATCAGTGCAAAACTTACGGTAACGTTATTTTGATTTTATAAAAAATTGGCCGCTGATGGCTAAGCAATGAGAAATAACAGAAAAATTAACATTTGCCAGAAATGATTATTTTAAGCAAAATTATCATCATAATATAGTTAGTTGCATCCCAAGGACATTTTCATTGAATTTTGAGGCGCATTTAGCTCTCGTATGATTTTATAGCTTCTAAAACTTTACAAGAGATAATTTTCTTTCGATAATTGTCTAGGTCGAACGTTCTGGTGCAGTATCGTCTTACAGAAACGTTGTACTACTTCAAGTACTTTTATATGGTGTTGTCGCATGAGTCCATCAAAATCAAATGGTCTGCTTTATTGTAATTACACAGATCACAACTTAAGATATGGTAAGTCTCCATAAAATAGCACTTGAAAAGTAGTTTTTTGTCTTTACAAAGATTAAATTACTATTATTATCCATAACTAGACCAGAGATAGTCCAAACATGAAATACTCTTTTGTAAAGAATAAGAAAATACAAATTAACAGTAGTCTACTTATATTCTACTTATATTGCATAACAAAGCAAGCAACATTTTTGATCGTATGTATCATCAACGTTAAATGTCATCCAACAACTATAACAGCGTAAGATGATATTTAACACTATAATGCCGAATGAAAATCGAATAAATAACTAAATGTGTTAAAGCAGGTAATTACAGCCAAGAAATATTTACATCTAGTTCCAAGAAATTAGTTCCAGACGGCAGAAAACTGATTCAATTTGTGAAAAAAATACGAAGTTTACATGCTGAAAGGCATTTCGCATTATCTGTCTTTAAATATTCCCAAAGTGTATTTGAACGCAATAATTACAGATATAATATAGTGTACCTCATCAATAGTGAAATAATAAAATTTGTATTATAAAATATATTTCTGAAATGGTTATAATAATGTAAACAGTTTCGAGTCTTGATAAAGTTTGCACATTTTGTATCTCTAAATTAAAATTCTTATGGCAAACTTGATTGAACATATGTTTGCACTCAATATGTTGCACTTAATGAAATTAGGCAGTTAGAATGCAGTGAATTTAGTAAATTAAGTAGTTAGATAAGGACATACTCAATATTGTGGTAAATTATCAATAAATTAATAATAACCTACAAAGCACATTCAATATAACAGCAGTTGAAGCTTATTTTGCATATACTTGCATATTTAAAACAAACTACAACAAACCACAACAGAGCGATAATAGCGCTAGCTAACAAGCAGTAATCTAAAAAGAATCTGAAAGGTAAGTTCAGTTCCAAATCAGATGGACGCCCTGGAAGTAATCTAGTATTTCTAACTACTTCAAATAACATTCAGGCCTTATACCAAATTCCTTGAATACGATGTCAGCGACAATCCGTTCAAGGAAATCTACAACCACGAACAGATCGTCAAAAAGCAGGACTAATGGTTATACGTTATAATTCATAATTTGAGCTAAACATCGTTGTTTGTGTTATCAAGCTTTGTATTATCATCCGGATTGGATAAAAACTGTTGTGACAAAAAAGAGGAAAGCGCAACAACTAGAAATGAATTCTTAGCAACTTCATATAATGCTCACAAATGATTTTGCGAAAATAAAAGTAAGCATTAGACTTTTATTTCTATGCTCGAATTCTACGTTACTAAATTTTCGGGTCTATAAAGTATCTCGAAAACCTAATGTAATTTTCGCTTTACACCTTTCCGAAACTTCCACCTTGGCCATCAGAATGAACTCAGGAATTAATGAAATTTATTTTTTTAAAATCATAATGAAGCTTCAAACTTGAAGCAAATTTAAAATTTGTAATTTCTGTAATTTTATGAAAATATGAGATAAAATTCATTAAAATTAGCCAAGTGAATGAGATTAAAATTCAACAAACCGGGTTTTCTTTGAAGAAAGCGCTATTTGATTTTTAAAAATTAGTTATTATTTAGATTATATAATGGAAGAAAATGAATTTTTGTTATACCTGTATGTAGTTTTTCTGAAGTTTCTCTGCGTTTTCTTCTGTAGTGTGTAGTGCTGAACTCAACTGCTGAAGACCTTCTCTCACTTGTCCGTTGATTAGAGCAATTTCTTTTCTCAAGATATTAACATGTGCAGTCTTGCAATCCTTGCACACTTTGCGACTGCAGTGAGCACACATTTCCAACTGTCCTTTCTCCTTGCAAGTATTGCATCGTTGCATCGAAGCTGGTAGTTCAGGTTCTCGACCACTAACTTGTTGACGAAGTTCCAGGAATCGACCCAGTGTAACGTTATTCGGAAAGCCCTGGACACCTCCTTGAAGAGGTATCCTGTGCTCTGCAGAGCACTCTGGACATTTTACCTGTTGTTTGCCCCTCTCGACTGCTTTCTCGAGACAAGGTTCCGCGCAGAATGTGTGGTTACAAGGCAAAAGTTTCGGATTTCGAAACCTGTCCGAACACACACTACACTTTAGTAGTTGGTCCATACGAAACCACGGAGAAGACATATTGATTCAAGATTGCTTCTGTAAAGAACTTATATATATATCACCAATTTAAATTTTTGCTGTGAGAACAAGAATATTAATGAACATTACATATTTAAGTAATCCTGTGTGAAGAATGCTGCATTAGTAAAATTGTTCACAATTTTTTTGCCACGGCCAAATTCCTTCATAAAGAATATTTATCAGGGGAATATTAATGTATACTCAATGAAATTTTATTTTAAGTGATTTGTAATTCTTTCCTCATCTTTGCTTGTATATAGTATACAAACCTTTTTCTCACTAGTGGTAGCTATTTATATCTAATGAGATTTCTAATATTTACACGAGCATCTGAAGTTTGCTATAAATAGTCTTCCATCACAAGTTTGTTAGCGATTAGGAGCTATTTTAAGCCGTGGCACAAAGGGTTTGCTGTCGTTTTGTACATCAAAAACTCGTTAGGAAAAGTTCCATTGAGCATCTTGACCGGGCACGACCAGTGTATTTCTCTCTTGTAGTGAGAATCTTCCGTTTATACTCATCTTCTCCAGTGGAACAACAGGTGTTGGTTGGCGTCCAACTCTTACAAAAAGGAATCCGAATGAGTCAAAAGGGAGGCTAAAATAAATCTGTTCTTCAATGCCAAGTTCCAGAAGTTGATGCGATTCAAGCAGCTTCTTGTTGTTATTTGCAGGCCTTTTCTTCTGAAAATATAAAGAATTTGCATAAGAATTTAAATCTTACTTAAATACTTTCCTTAAAAAAGAAATTATTTCATTACTTTTTAAAACTGCACATTACTGGGGGAAAAATATTAATCAGTTTGTGTATAAGAGGAGAATTTATTTTTATAAGTATTCAGTTTGAAAATAAATGAATTATTAAGAGAAACATAACATAAAAAAATATTAATTATTTTTCATCAGTAAAAATCAAGCAAACAGAAGGTATCAAAATAAGAAAAAGGTTTCTTAAAAATTTATGAGAAACTCTCTCTTTCATTGGGACTCATGAAAATGTTAACTAATTTAAATGAAAAACAGTAACTTATAAAAATTCTAATTATTTGTTAATTTAACCAAAAATTTTGCATTTTTGAAAACTTAAATAATTGTTTATGTTTAATATATAAATAATTAAATTTAAACTTAAATAATTGTTTCCAATTTTATTTTCCAGCAAAAATTATGCACTCCTATAGATTTAAATACAAATAATGCTATTAATTTAATCATTTTTAATTTTTAATCGCTTTGGGACTGGTACGTAATTTTTAGCTTTTATTTACATTGTGTAAAGATGGTACAGATGCTATTTCCATTCTGAACTATTTAATTTCAGGAGACTGATATATCTTTAATTTGAAATATTTTCATAGAAATTAGTTCCTTCATCCTTTGTAAATCAACTGAATTCAAATGACTTTCAGTTCATAATAAAAATATGATTTCTATAAATTAAATGACTTTGTTGTTCCGATTTTCAATTAAATTGCAAGGAAAGATTTCTTCATCTTATGAAAAGATGTTGTTAAACATCCTTTACTGATTTATACTGAAAAACAATAAAATTAAATTTTTTAAATGGAAAAAAAGGTTTACTTTTATATAAAGGGATATCTTTTAGACAAGAAAATAGGATAACTTAAGCGGAAGACGATACTATCAATTGTTGTAGAAAAGGATGGAGTGAGTGCCGGACAGTCAGATTTTGATCTGCTTTCAAGGCAGAGTCATAAAGGTAGATATACACTTCACTTGTGCATAGTAAACACATAAACAATGTGATTAGATTTTAGAGTAAATCTGTTGAGCTAAAATACTGTTGACCCCACGACAGCTTGTTTATGTGAGCGAAAGGCAGTAAATGATTATTAGCTGTCTTATAGATCTGAGTCTGCTCTTAGTACGGGATAGGCTAAGTGTGATTGCTCACAATCTGGGAACTTCCACCTTTTAAAGTATATATATCCATGCTAATACATAAAAAATTAAACTTTTTTATATATTTGTTGCTCATTAGGCAAAAAACAGAAGACGAATCTACTTGAATTTTGCAGCTAGGTAGGCAATGAACTGGGTTAAATTTTCGGTTGTTAAACATTTGAATTTCAGTTCTTTTCTCAAAAACAGTCCGAAACACTGGACGGATAGAATTACTTTAGAATCTGAATTTTTAATAAGTCTGTATTTGGAAAATAGACGTAAGACAAATGTTGCAACTAATTTGCATTTTAATTGAATGTATTTTCCATTTATCGTGAAGTAGTACTCATGTAATCCTTCACGATAAATGGAAATCATATGATGCAAGAAAGAGATATCATATGATACAAGAAAGAGAAATCATATGATACAGTACTATTTACAAAAAGAATTAGAGAAATTATTTCGAACAGTATTTTGATTTCATTTGCAGCTGACAAATTTGCCACTTGTGAGCCAAATTTGCCATATTATAGCTTTCACCATGCTATGTGATCGATATGTTTGCAATTCGGATTTCATAGCTACTTCAATTAGAATTTTGCTTTTCTGTGCTATCACGCGGGAGGGACGTCCACGAAGCAATTTTATGCGGTCCGCGAAGACATTTCAATTAAGAAATTTTTGCAAATGCAGCGTTACAAAATTTCAAGATTTTAATTACTTGATGTCTGAGGTTGCATTATTTTCAGTATCATTAAAACTAACGTAAATAACACACCAGAAAAACTATAAATGAAGCTAACCAATATAGAATGTAATATAAATCTTAGATTGAATTCAATTAATTTAAGATTTAGAGATACACATTTTATTAACTTTTATTCGTATTTGTGAAAACATAAATCAGTTAATTTTTGCATTAAGAATACTTTCTTTCTTTGGGAATACATCCATATGTGAACAGCGTTTCTTCACTGTTGAAAAATAATTTTAAAAAAGATTAACTGATGAGCATCTACAGTGCGAGACGAAGATCATTTCTAGTAAGATTTCTCCTACGCTACAAGCTTTATAAAAGTTTATAAAAGTTTTTAAACGCATCAAGAAGCGTTTAAAAATCATCTGGAAAGTGTAGTATATAAGAATAGTTAAGTCTTATAATGGCTGGTAAACTTATTTGCAGAGAGTAAATAATTTTTGGAGTGGAAAGAGGTACACGAAATTAAAAATCAGACACCTCTTTTATTGTAGTAACAAATAAAAGAAGTTCATAATTATTTACATACACACATACGTATTTTTATTTATGCGTCAAAAAGAATTTAATAAATTAGAAAAAGAGGATAAGTTGTCACTATTTATTCTCAAGTTTGTCCTACTTGGAAATTTTTTTTCAAAAGATTAAGAAAGTTTTCATAATTTCTGTCAGTTATTTTATGTTTAATTAAACATGTTAGAACAATTTTAAATAAACACCAGTCTGCAAACTTAGTATTTAGCATTCAATATAATTGAATTACAAATATATTGAAAACAAAGTTACAAATATATTGTAACCAACAAAAATGTCTTGCAGGTATGAAATTTTAGATTTCGCATAGAAATTTTATAGTTTGAATTTTTTTTCTTTGAGATATTATTTTTGTTAACGTTTATGAATGATTTGAAATCTATTCAGCAAAGAAATTTAAAATTTACTTAAAAATACTTTTTTATCATGTAAATAAAGGTTTTTGATTTTGTTAAAAAATATTCTGGCCCATCAGCTGGTTTCGGCCAATTTGATTTTGAAACCACTGCCGTAGTGATTCTAATTTTATTTAAAGAACCTTCTGAGAATTATTTCTAAATATTAAGTGTTATCATTTGATTTGAAGAAATGCCGAAAATACGGGAGAGATTTCTATTTAAGGATGTGACAGGTGACAACTTTTCTGAGGTGAAGACGTGATTTTTTACGCCATTTTTTTTGGTGATCTCATACTCCATGACGTCATGCATTACGCCTTCAGGACCGCGCAGGTATGTTTGGGTAATTTGTATCCCACTCAAATAGTTGCAAATAGTTGGTTCTTGCGAAAGGGTGATGCAATCATAAATCTCTGACTTTTGGCAACTGCGTAGCAGTGTGTTTTGATAAAAACTGTGCGTAATACAGACGAGAGGGAAGCATTCATTTATTTGATACCAGAATTTCTAAACATGGCAGGTATAGATGTCTTTGTTTCTTCCAAGTTAACGAGTATATTTATATCTTCTTTAAATATCATTACCCTTTTCTCTTCGTAGGCGTTGCTACCGAGGGTTTCACGCTACAACTCAACGGGCGCAGCTGCAGTGACATGTGTTTTTGTTTTGGTTTGTATTCCTCTTGACGTTGGTAAGCACCTTATACGTCGCAGTACAAATTTTTCCGATTCAGTCGCAGTTTTAAAGAAGAATTCTCCGTAGAACGGACCGATAATCTCCTACCGTCACCTTCTGTCATCGACCTCTCAAGAATATTTTCGGCTGAACAGTACTTTAAATTTCCTCATACAGCAGACACTTCACATTTATCCTTTTTCTGCGATTCGAATCTGGACCAAAGGCTACGAAAGCTGACCACTAATAGTCCAGAAAACATCAGCATTCTGTGATTTTTAACTCCTTGGTAATTAAGTCATTAAATGATGAAAGATCATATATTACAGAAAACGAGTGCATTTCATAACGAATAAATTTGATACCCAAGTTGAAAATGCTGAGACAAAAATAACTGAGAGTTAGTAAACTTACATCCTAAATTAATCTCAGAATGCAAAACGTAAATATTCAGTTGTTACTATTTAGAGAAAGAATACGGATAGTTTTTATCAGTTTCCGTACCATGGTAATATTAGGAATTTTTGTTTTTCTGAAGCAATTGTATCCAATATTTAAAAAAAAATTAAGTGAAACCTTTATATGTAGGGTACGAAATCTTCAACACGAAGAATTTAAGTCCCCATCATCTTCCCATCATACTCATGAGAGATATTTTCTTCGAAGAGCTATTTGAATCAGAACAATAGACAAATAAATAATACAATATATCTGCACAATTTTTATGAATTCACTAGTGGTTGAAAGGCTGTAACCTCCAGAAACGTGTACAGTCCGACAACTAAGAAAATGTGAAGTTATCAGACTAGGATAAGAAAGATAACTAAGATAACCAGTTATCAGACAAGATGTTTTCGCTAAGAATTTAGCGTTATTGGAGATTTGTGTGAACTTTCATTTCGCGGCAATTCAATATAGTTAGCAACTAATGAGATAAGACACACATTCGCAATTACAAAATATTTGTGGAATGATATTTGCAATTTCATAAATAAACTGTGTTTACAAATGCGTACTTTACAGTGTGTAATGTTTACAATAGTAGTGTAAATTCTCAGTTCTCAGTTATTATTTGTATCCGCAGATATATAATTAAGTTCTAAAATTGAATTTTAGATTATTTCAAATCAGTACCTTACTCACTTCTGTGGTATTAACGCTTTACATAAGTTCTTTATTCATTTGAATTTTAATTTTTTAACTAAAACATTTTTGTTTATTAAAATCTTCAGTTTCATTTCTCAACATGTTTTAAAGCCAGATACTTTTAGCAGTTAAAAGGAACATAGAGAAATATTCGAAATTCCAGTCCTCTCCAGCAATTCGGAAAACATCAATTATGCAACTGAATGGACAATTTTGGAACACTTAGAGGCAGTTTCGAAATTAACTCGGAACTGTTTTGAAATTTG